GATCAAAGGAAAGCAGACACAAACACATGAAAGAAGCAGCAAAAACCTTCAGATATTCAAGTGCAAAAGCAAAATCTACGTTCCAGAATTTAGGGCAAACCAGTTTGATCTGGCATTTGGCAAACAAAGATGACATGCACACAAATAATACATTAAATGAAAAGAAACACAATACTTCACAAAACTTCAGATCACAGAGGGCATAGATATTAAATAATTATGGGAAAGTGTAACCACTGTGGATAATGTATTTAAGAGTTACAAGAAGAAAATTACGAAAACTAAGTATGTGACCAACAATATGTGGAATATATTAGTTCATTACAACTGCAAAAAGCCTGAAATGTACATGCATTATATATGTACATACACAGAGGACAACTCAAAGCCAGAAGTAATTCCATATGAAACATTTGGATTACTATTTAACTACAACAAGAAGTACTTTACTAAGATTCTTACAACATTCAGATCCACAGAGAGTGCTAAGGTTTTAGGATCTTGACAGTTTCATGACACAAATGAAGAAAAACAATAGTGTATTATTTGAATGACAGAGTCTGTCAGATGCATTAGTCTTTAAAACAACATAATGATAATCTTGAGGGGAATTTTAATGGTTAGATAGATTTCCACTTTGTGGAACACACTTATCTCTTATCTTTATACAGTGACACATCATCATCATTAATCATTGTGGAGATAAGACACAATGAAAGGTATTTCTAAATATCCTATCTAAAGTCAGTCCAGGGTAATGTGACTACCCAAGATTTCAAGTAACTTTTTTCACTAGGTAAGCTGCTTGAACACAAGTATATTGGGAAAACTGATACATACCATGTTCCTACATGCACTAATCCAGGCATAGAAAATACATCAGTAATATATCAAGTTGTGATGAAAATACCAAACACGAGTAAATTGCAGCAAAATTACTCAGAAATTATGTAAAATTACCTAAAACAAGCAGATTAAAATAAACCCCATGACAGTACTGAACTTTGCTTTTGATTATTCCAATAACCTGAGCATTACTACTCCTTCCACTATTTAAGCATATTACCCAGATTTTCCCTCTCAATTAGTAGATGTCCACAAGAAAGTTAAATCTGAGTGTGCAATACAAGTAACTAAATGCAGTGAGCATTCCCAAAATTTGCATTAGCTTCCTGATCAGTTTCATCTCTCTCCAATCTGTACAGTCCAGTTATTTATAAAAATTCCATAAAACACTATATTAAACCAAAAAAAGGCATTATATAAATTGATGTAGAACCTAAACTGAGGATTATTGCTTCTAGGATCTGCTTAATAGCTTGAGCCAGTCATAAACAAAGGGCTGGAAGCTGCAATGCCCTATCAGAGAGCTGGTGCAAAAACCTGATTTCATGAGCAGTGAAAGAGAAGAGCCAAACAAGCTACTCAATAATCCTGACATTGGGACCTTCTTGCAAAGGTGAAACACACAAGAAGGAAATAAGATGTTTTTTTCCAATCACTTAAGCAGTCCAGAATTGAACAGAATCTACAGCCTTGCTCTATTCTGTAGCCTTAGAAAACATTTGTAAGTGAATGCCAGACATAAGATTTTTAAAGAACTTCCCCTGTCAGTTTTGGTCCACATACACTGAGTAACAGATAACCAAGAAAGTTATAATTGTATTTTACATATTCATGAGATTTAAAAAACCCTTACTGCCTAAATCTTCATACAGTATCATCACACAGGATACATAGTTTCATTTACATTAAATTTGTACATGCTTCTTTAATCAGCACATCTAGAAATAATTACCCAATGTTTAAAAAAGCATTCCTGATGCCTTTCCACTGCTATGGATACACCAGGCACCAAATCAAATGGAGGTACTATACAACACTGTCCTATAAACACTAAAGTTTTCAGATCCTTTACTTTCCTAACCTGTGCAATTTAAGTGATACACCTTCCTTTTACTTCTGCAGTCCTGGAATTCAAAGGCAAGACATTTTTCTTCACTGTTTAGTGAACTTCACTGGAAAGAGGTTTGACTTTTCTTTTTTAAGGACAAAGTCAATACTTTAAATACCAAAACAGTAACAATGGGAGGATGCAGTGTATTAAACTGACCCAAGCTAAAGCCAATACTTGCAAATGGTAATATCCCATGAAAAGCAGCACATGAATTAACCTTGGGGATAAACAACCTTGAGTGTTCATATATAAGAGAAAACAGTACAGTACAAAAAGAAGAATGTAAGTACACATTGTTTAAATCATTTTGGCCTATGAGAAATCACTTGGAAAAGCAATGAGATCAAGAAGAAAAACCCACACAGTATTTTTAAAGGAACCCACACATTAATTCCTTTCACACAAAGTGGTTTTGTGATATACAGTCTAAGATGGCACACACATAATTTTTTATCTTAAATTCTTTTAGGCATGATCATGTCTTCTATAAGGAAAAAACTCTAAACAACCAAGAAACACATTTTACTCTGAAATCAAAGTGTCCAGTATTTAAACCTCCTAGCACACACTTTAAGCAAATCTCACCAGGCAGTAAAAAGGAAGATGAGAGGTTCAATACTGAGCCACTTGTCCTTCAAATGCTCTTTAGTCATTACCTTTACTATAGACAGCAGCAGCAATAATGCCCACATTTTGGTCACCTAACACTCTCCCTGACAAAAAGATTCCTACAGTGTCTTCTCCTGCTATTGTTTGCCTCATGCCTTTGATTTTTGGCAAAGGGTTGCAGATTTTTGGCAAAGAACTGAGTTCTGCAAATATTATTTTCTTGTCCCACAGAATTTTGCTCCTTCTTTGCAGAATTATAACAATTTAACAATATTATTTCCTCTAGTAGTCAAGAGATGAAAAAAAAATCCCTTATTGCAGGCTTGTTTATTACAGCTTGGTCTGGGCAGACAGTCTGAAGTGCCTTGCTTGCACTGCCATCCTAGCAATTTTCCCAGCACTGAGGAGCCTACAGATCAAAACTCAGATGCTGCCAGACAACTACAGTTTGGGAAGGGGAATGGTGGCTACCATCACTGCCTGTTGCTGGGGCAGCACCCTTTTGGAGAACAACACCATGGGAATGAGCATTTTACTCCGGAACAGAGAGGTAAGATTCTTCCGATCCCTATGACCAAGATGAGGACTCCAGGACCAAGACATAAATACAGACATGAATTAAGAGAGCATCATTTCCACATCCACATGAATGATTCACTTTAGTAGCTGTTGTGCTTGTTACAGAATTGGCAAGTCCCACAAAAATAAGCCTCATTCTCTGCTGCAGGAGATCAAATGCCATCCATACTGCTGTATGTAACACACACCACACATACACAATCTTTCACACCACATCATGTATTATCTTTCTAGCAGACAATTCAAATAACAAATTTGGCCAAGACCACTCTATACTACCTTCCTTAGGCATTAGTGCTCAAATGCCAATGCTTGACCACAAGTAATTACATCTGTCTGTACCTGTCCATGCCCTACAACACACAACTCATTTGATACCATCTTTAATTAGAGTACATGCTACCTTTTCTGTGGATTCCCAATCTCATACAGGGTGAAAAATAGATTTTGTATTAGTCAATATAAAGAGTGAAGGTTTTTTGCAATATTTGCCTCTGAAGTTAGAATGCATAAACTTAAAAAAAAGAGTCTGGGAAGAATGCAAGTGAATATTGGGAAGAATCCCCTATGTTTTAGAAGAGGTTAAGAAAATCCTCACAAATATGAATTCTGAGCATTTATTTCCTCCTGTCCTCCATGTGAAACCTTAAAAAATAGAGACCCAAGCCCTAGAAGTGCCTGACTGCTCAACAGCAACAGCCTTTCAGCAAAAATTGCAACTGCCAAGTATGTGGAGAAGGGTGAGGAACAGCAAACACAGGTATTCCCAGCTCCTTCCATGGCTCCTCACACTGCGTTACCCCGGAGAAGTCAAAGTCTCAGATTCCTACTCCGTAAATTGGAAGAGTAATCCTTCTTTATCTCCCAAAGTAATTGTAAAGCTACTTTTAGTCACTACAGTAGCTTAGGACAAACGGGGAAATTAATTCCCTCTTATGCACCAGGTTTAGATGGTTTACCATCCACAAAGCAGAGGCTCCATACCAGATAATTAAGGTAAAAGTGCAATGAGCACCTGCATAACACCTGAATCACCAGTCATCTCATCCTCGAGCCCAGGGGAAGTCATGTGAAGAAGGAGCAGCCAGACCCACCCTAACACCTACACGTGAAGGTCACGACCACCAGCCTCGGCCCCAACATCTCACGGCGCTGGAGGGATTGATCCCACGCCACGGGATCCACACATACGGCACAGCAACCTCCACCACATCTCACACACCCCTTTCATCCTCGGAAATTAAAAGTTATGCTCGCCGAGCAGCGACGAGGGACCTTAACCAGGAGCCGTGCCTATAGGAGGGCTCTGCGTGCGGTGTTCACACCCGATACCCGCTCAACCAGTTTGCTGCCCGGGCTGGGCAGCACCGGCACAGGCAGGCCCAGGCACCGCCGCGAACGAGGTTTACAAATCGCTGCCTCCGCGCTCCGCACTTCGGGGCACCGCCGAGCTGCCGCCCGCCCGCCCGTCCCGGCAGCACCGCCGGCGGCCGGGGAAATCGCGGCGGCACAAAAGCCGCCTCACGGCAAACACCTCCCGCGCCACAAAGGGCACGGACGGGGTTCGCGGGAGCCGCGGGCGGGATCCGCTCCGCGTCCCCTCGGGAGCGGCCGCCCGGCGCCGGCACCGCCGCGGCTCCCGCCGGGTGCGGCCGCCCCATCCCTCCGAGATGGCGGCCGGAGCCGGCGGCACCTGCCAGGGAGCGACCCCCGCCTGCCCCATCCCCGGGGCTCGGGCAGCGCCGGCCCCGGGCGGCGAGAGACGGGACGGGACGGCGCCGGGGGAAGCCGCGGGGTGCGGGCGGGGGAGCCGCCGTCCCCCGGCACGTCGCGGGGCCGCGGCCCCATCCCTTACCTGTGGCCCGCGGGTGGCTCCGCGCAGCCCCCGGCTCCGCCATCTTCCCGCCGGTGCCGCCGCCGCGTCCCGCCGGGGCCGGCTGGGCTGGCTGCGCCCGCGGCCGCCGCACAGGCGCAGTGCCCGCCCCGGCACCTGACGGCGCGGCGAGGGGGGGAGGGAGGGATGAGGGGAGGGGAGGGGCGGCCGAGGCCGGGCCGTGCGGTGGGGCGGGCCCGATGCCCAGGTGCGGCCGGGCTGCCCAGGTGGGGCATCCCTCAGCTCCGGATGCGGGGACGCGCTCGGGCAGGGGCGGCCCAGCGGCGCTTGGGTGCCCGGGCGCGTTCGAACACTCGGGTTATCCCCGAGAGCCAAACAACGCGCTCTCTCCGGCTTCCCGGGCCGATCCAGCCGTTTGCCCAGATTTTTCCATCCAGGTGTTTGCGGCCTCGGATGAATCGGTGGCACGGGGAAAGGCACAGCCGTGTCCTTCTCATCCAGCTGCGGTTCCCCCACGGGGTCCCTTCGGGCCGAGTTGGCCGCGGTTTTAGAAGGGGAGAAAATAACATAATCTTTGTTTCTCCTCATCATTCACATACTAGCGGTTGAACTCCCCTCCCCAAAATTTTAGCACACACCTTGTATGCTTCTTTTGCTTTCCCATTACTGGTTTTGCTGTTTCCAGACCGTGTTAGGACACAGCTCCAGGGCTTGTGGCTTTGGGGCAAATCCTGCTCAACACAGGGCCACAACTGGTGTTATATGCCAAACACCTTATTGACCCATCTTCACTGCCAATTTTTTAAAATTTAAATGTAAGATATATTTAATCCTTCCAGTTTTCATTCTTACTCCTTTTGTTTTCTTCTTTTTGCCAAGCAATTACATTACCTTTATATTCTTCACCTGAACATACCATAGTCAATATAAGAGGAAGGAGGAGGGCAGCATTTACTTTGGTACTCCTAATGTGTCTCCTAGTAAATCACTGTTTCCTAAGAGGCAATTATCCTGTACTCTGGGCAACAATTCTTCCATCTACACATTCAAGTGGTGTTCTCATGTTTGGGTTCACACACCTCAATAAAAGTTCAGCTACACAGATTCAGGGATGCTGGTGCATATAGTAATAATTATTCCTAATGTTGCTTTATCAATTAAATACTTAATTTTCATTGCTTATAATTATGCCAAATTTTGAAAGTGCAAAATGATGTTTTCATTTCAGCTGTTTTTCCCACTAATCTTACATCAAGGGGCTCCACTTTCTATTCTACATGTCTAAAGATTGAATTGCACAGTTTTGGTCACTTTAGAGAAGAAAAAACCTACCTCTCTTACTGTATCTGTCCCTCCTAATTTCCAGAGGCTCCTTTGGCAACAAAATCAAAAGAAGACAGAATCTAATCTAATCAGTAATTAATCTTTAGCCTATTGGTGTCTGATGAACACCTTGGAAAGAACAGCTGGTCTCAGTGCAAGATATATAGACTTAGTGATGAGGAAAAGGAAACACAGAGGATGAATTTTCAGGACTGGGAAATAGGACAGCAGAGAATGTATGTGGGGCATGAAAAGGTGGAGGATTATGTCCAGAAACTGGAGAAAGGGCTGTGAGGGTATCTGCAGGGAAGGTATTAATGCAAGTGGCTGAGGAGAGGAATGGATGGATGGATGGATGGGGGCACTGGAGAATCTGCCCTGGGGAACATGAGCCCACCAATGCTGGCTCTCAAGTGGTTGTAAGCCCATAAGCACAGCACCTCACATGGAGAAAGAAGTGTTCTCCTACAACTGTAATTTCCTCTGATAGTTGGTTCACAGCACTCAGACCCAGAGTCATGCCATGGGAAGAAAAAAAAAAAAGGAGATTTTAAAGAAAACATAAGGAAACTATACAGAAACCATGAAAGCTCCAAAGACAAAGCCCTCCCCTACAGTATTGTATGTTGTTTGTGATATGAATCAATTTTTAAATTACCTTTGCAGAGTGGTTTTTTCCACAACACTCCCGCCCCATTCAATACAAGGATGTCTTTAATTAATGTATATTTCTTCAACGTTTCTCTTCATTTTCATCATGTAAAGTGGAATCTTTCATGTCATGTTCTCTGTACGTTCTTCAAACCCTGCCTTGAAGGCAGGTTAATTAATTTCCATGATGACTTTCCTGTGGTAGTCTTACACCTCTTTCAAAACATTCATAAATTTAACTTTGTAACAGCCTTCTAAGTTAAAGTAGTACTATTATCATATTTTCCACATAGGAAAGAGCTAACAGAAGATAATGTGTCTGGAGTTGTCAGTAGTGGTTTGCTAATTCTTTTATGTTGTGGAGGCAGGCAGGTTGTTTTAAAGCAGGGAAGAGTAGATTTAATACAGTGTGCATCCACCAGCACCTCAGAAACAAGAGCATAACTGTTCCTGCTCAGCTTTGACTTTAAATACTGTCATAGATCTTTAAGCACTAGATGTATTGGGTTACTTGGAGTAATCTCTGAAGCTTTGGTAGGCACACCTGGGAGTCAGGAGCTAATTCCAGGCATGTCTGTGTATCCTTCTTTACAACAAATAGAAGCACTCTAGGAATTTTTTTAATATTCAACCTTTAAAAAGGAAGTTATGAACAGTTGAATTTTACCCATAGTTCACAAAACAAGATTCTTTTCTTGACTATAGCAGCAAAAGTGGCCGTCCCAGCTGTGGTGGGACTACAGCCAGCATTTGCATGCTTAGAATTGGGGATGTCACTATGTTCTTTCCTAACGCTCCACAGCCTACCTGCCTTTAGTGTCCCTTCCTATCAGCAGAAGGAAAGCATCCTAGAGGACGCACATCACCAGGAGCAATGGGAGGGTCCACTTTTGAGTGATAGGGGAAGGATTACACAACTTTTACACAGTCCTATAGCCTTTGGTTGCTGAGGGATGGGACTGGAAAATTTGTCCTCACCTCCTGGGCCAGGAGGGTGAATTATCACAGCAGTGCCTGCAAGGGCAATAAGACAGTAGGGAGAAGCTGTGTGTTTGCTGGGCATTAGCAGTCTCTGATCAGCAGCTCTATAAGATAAATTATAAAGGAATTTTCCCAACACAGAACTTCATCTCTGTAAGGCACATCACATTGAGCACTCATTTGGAAAAGTGTTTATTGCAGATACTTTAGTTATTCTGCTTTCTTCATCTGAAGCCCAGTTTGCCCTGGCATGAATGAAGCTCTGGTAACACTTGTTCTAGATTATTGTATTTTGAAGCATTGTTCTTTCTTTTAAGGTGTGTTGTGCACTGTTAAAATCAACACCACTTTGGATTTCTTTCGTGGAAAACATTTTTCCTCTCTTACCACACATTTTCAGGAGATGCTGTATTTAAAAAGGTCTGTGCAAATGACCTACTGTAGGTGGTGGTCAACCTAAGCCTGTGAAAATCTCAGAGGTAAATCTGCAGAGAAGTAAATTCTTACAGTCAGCTTGAGATGCAGACAGAAAAAAGTTAGAGAGACTGATAATTCTGCCACCTTAACAGACATTCAAATGAAAACTGACAAAATTGTAAACTAAATTTGAAAATCTTGGCTTCTTTTCTCAGTATTTTTGAGATGGTGGTATCTATGCAACCAAAGCCATCCCACCCTAGGAATGCTTCTGAGGGAAAATGGAACAGTCAGTCCTGAGCAAACTAGCCAAATTTACAGTGCTATAAATCTATGTTGGTCCACAGTTTTTGCTGTATTTTCCCATTTTGAATCAATAGCTGACAATTTAAGTGCCCCAAAAAAGTAAGGCAAGTAGAATGGCTGCCTGGGGTATTTCAGCTGGAGCAACTGGCCCAGTGTCATGCAAGCACTGTGTGTCAGAGGTGGTAAATCCATTTCTCCCGGGCAGTATTTGTTTTATTTTCAAAATCGTCCTTCCTTTTCGGAAACTCTTGGAAGTCCAGTGTTTCACAACCTCTGGATGAAATTCGGTGCTCAGACCACAGTATTTTTACAAGCAGTGCAAAGTCATCTGAAGAGAAATGCTCCTCTTCATCAGGTGAGTTTGTGTTTTCTGAGATAAACAGAGTATGGCTCGGAAGTTAGAAAGAGTGTTTTAGCACATGCATCAGAAACCAAAGAAAGGTGGTGGGTATAATTAAATATAGTTTTTCCTGATTGTTGAAATATTAACTCAGCATCTTAAGCATCCCCCTAAAATAGATTACAAGAGCATGTAGGGGGAAGACAAGGGGGAATGGCTTTAAACTGAAAGAGGGCAAGTTTAGATTAGATATTAGAAAGAAATTCTTTATTGTGAGAGTGGTGAGGTACAGGGACACATTGCCCAGAGAAGCTGTGGATGCCCTATCCCTGGAAATTCTGAAGGCCAAGTTGGATAGAGCTTTGAGCAACCCAGTCTAGTGGAAAGTGCTCCTGCTCACCACAGGAGGGTTGGACTAGATGAGCTCTAAAAGGTCTCTTCCAACTCAAACTATTCTATGATTCTATGAAATGACAGAAACACTCATGGAGTAATTGACTGATAAGAATTCCTCACAAGAGATCAATCTTACATTAGAAAATCACGGGCACTGAGTCAATAAACGGAGGCACATTGTGATAAAAACGAAAATATTTTTTTCCAGTAGCTTGAAATCTTTCTAAGGAATGTGTTGGTGGTAGCAGTCTTGAATGTAGATACCCTTCTCTGTTTCAAAACCACAGTTTTGAAATCAGAACTCACGGTTGTATTTCTGAAGGACTTCTACCTTTTAGTCAAAAATATTTTTTATAAAAAACAGTTGAATTTGCCCAGGTAAAATGTCTTCGATTTCTGTTTGTCTGCCACTACTTAAGAAGCCACAGGCATTAAACTCACAGGCATTAAACTTGCCTTTTTAGGTTCCCCTGATTGAAGAGCAGGAACAATGTGCAACTCAGTCTGGAAAAACTTGAACTACATCTGTCTGCTTTATTTTTGTGTATACTTATATCCAAGAACTGTCATTCAGTGAGTAATATCAGCCTAGAGTTAAAATAATTCTAGCATGAATCATAATGGATTGCTTTTTTATTTATTTGACATTGAAAAGTGTCTTCTTTCTCCTTCATGTGAAAGTAGACTTTTTTTAACATTGTTAAGTGTTAAATTGATAAATCACACACCCCAATATCCTATGCCATATGTGATTTTTTTGTACTCCGCAAATGCCTTGAACTAGGGGCATATTTTCACTTGCCTCACACTTTTATCCTTTGAAGTTCAGTCACAGCTATTTGATTTGGAAAAGGTTGGCACTATCAGGGTTGATCTTCACAAAAATAAGTGAAAATAGAGCAAGAGAGGAACTCTCTCATCACCTTGTCTTTTG